CCAACTATTAATCTTAAAGTGTTCATCCCCTCATCTACTACCTAGTACTGTTTGATAACAGAATTGTATTTTATATTTATACTAAACAACTTTTTAATTTAACATCTAGAGATTAGCTGTTCATCTGGGTGATTCCAACAATTAAACTCAAAGTGTTCATCCTCTCGGTTATTGTCATTTCTTAGATTTTACTTTTATCGGGTCTTATTTGTAAGAATGCATATCTTATATATTTTCGTTTAATACATAATATTTATATATTAGATTTGCCTGTTAGAATTCTATAAATATATAAATTTTTGAACGACTTTATCGGTTTGAATTTATCGACTTTATTGTTAAAATTTTTCCACTAAATTTAATATTTAATTAATTCATTTTGAGAGTTTAAGTTTCTTTTTCTTTATGTATTAATAAAAAAATAAAAACATTATAGAAAAATTTGCTTATGTATTATTATTATGTGTCTATATATGTACATATAAAACCAGAGCACATAAGTTCGTGAATAGGTATTCACGTGAAATCGTAAATATCTGTTTTTACTTAGAAGCTTGAGAAGAGGAGTCAAAACAGATCTATGGTTTCAAATTCAGTAAACAAAACGCAGACATACTTTAATATAAACAAATGACGATTTTCTTGGAAAAAAATAAACTTTTCGGTAGGAAATAATCACTTCAAAACTATAAACCATATTTATACTTCGTTTTGTTTACATAAATATCAATCTTCAATAAACTCAAATATATATCTATGCGGTGGCTTAGGCGATCTGTATAATCAATTTATCATAAATATTTTTTTATTGTTCTTTAAGTTCTTATATATATTTATGCAGTAGCTTAGGCTTATACGACGATATGTATAATCAATTTATCATAAATATTTTTTTATTATTCTTTTAGTTCCTATTAATTTAAGCGTTAACTAAAATTAAATCCATAATGTTTACACAATGACGTACTTTTAACTATAGTATCTTAAATAATTAAGATACTATAATTGAAAAAATATTAATATTTTTTAATACAAACTAATTAAATTAATAGTAAATTTTCTACTTAAAATAAGTTTTATTTTAATATGTAAAATAAATACACATTAGAGAGACAGGGACAATAAGGACGTCTCCTCATCCGATCAGCTTCTAATTTATCGCCTAATGAATTTAAAAATAAAAATTTTTTAAAACATTTTTTATTTTAAATATTGATTTATTGAATATTAGTATTACTAATGTTTATACTCAAATTTTATCGTTTTAATAACGTTTATCTAAGTTTTACGTATTATTTTGATGGAAGTTTTGATTTTTTGGAAATGTAAATATTTTGCTTATAACATCGTAAGAATATATCAAAAGTCGGATATGTTCATCAAGACGATGTCGTAGTTATTTTTCTGTTAAATATCTTAAATCTTGTTACCATAAGATGAGTTGATTCTTAAAAACATGTGAGACAAAATAAATGTTTGGCTACTAGTTTTATGACTAAGCTAGTTTTTAATCGTCTTCTTCTGATATATTTCTTTAATCGTCTTCTTGTGATATACAAACATATAATTACCTATATATATGCTGTATAAATAAATTTATTGAATACAAAGTCTAGAAGACTTTTTATTTATCTGATTTAGTTATTAGTTTATTCCATAAATGATCATATCTCGTTACGACATCATTTAATATCAAGTTGAAGATAAATGTTGAGAGGCCTTTTTCTTGAGACCCCCAGAAATAACAGAAGTTTCGGTTCTCATCGCAAGCTTCTTTAGAATAGCATTAAGTATTTATTCATAGCAATTCTAGGTTTGCTATTTTGGGTCAATTTTCGAATTAGTAGCTCAAAATGATTCAATTCCTTTTACCTATATTAATATAATAAAAAATAAACTTCATAGTGTCCCATTAAGAGTAATACGTTGTCGATTAATTTCATTAATTATTCAGTTATTTACTCGTACTTTGAATTTATTAGAACCGTTGCAAAATTATCCTTAAGTTTATTAAGGATCCTTATGGATTATTATCCTTAACTTTTTATGGTATGGATATTCCTTATTCGAAACTATCTATATTATTTTAAACAATTAATTTTGTTTGAGAAAATTTTGAGGTCTTTCAAATAAGTTTCTAATAGTTCTTTTGGGTTCTCAAAATATGTTTTGCCAAGAATTTTGGCCCTGTCCCTTATTAAAGAACATCTACACAATAGATGATAGTTTTTTCTAACATAAAAATAAATATATATATATAAATTTATATATCGATTTAGTAATGAAATTTAAAATTTATTAATTAAAGATAATTTTTTTATTTATCATTTGTTTATTAATTATATTTAATAAAATCTTTATTCTTCTTATTTGCAGCTCCAAATCGTAAGTCTGCAATCTGAATAAATGAAATGGATTTAATGGCAGTAGTCGTATTGAATTATACTCAAAATCATATCCTAGTTCACAGCAAATTAATATATTTACTATATTAAGTTAATATTTAAAACTTGCAATATTATTATTATTATTTGTAGCTAAAAAATTGAAGATGACAATTGCAATTATTGAAAATGGAATGATAAAAGTGAAACGTCCACGTCCCACTGACCGCACTGAGTACTTTGAACGCGCTTTGAAACTAACAAGTAAGTATTAAGATATAAGATATATTAATTAATATTTTATAAAAACATTTCTTACTTCATTTAGAATTTGGCTTATTTAACTATATGATGATCTTCGTTTGCGGTGTTATACTCGCCAATGTTTTGTTGGAGACTCTTGGCATCAGTTTTGTTTTACCAGTTTCGGAATGCGATTTCCCACTTACTACAACACAACGTGGCGTCTTGGGCGCTATTGGATTTGCCGGTATCATATCTAGTTCCCATTTGTGGGGTTTTCTTGCTGATACCACTGGACGTCGCAACATCATTAGACCAACTTTAATCATGGGTTTTTGCTTAACTGTGTTTTCCAGTTTTGCTCAAAATTTTTGGGTAATGGTGGTTTTAAGATACCTGAACGGGTTTTGGTACGGTTTTTGACATTTATTGTTTTCGAAGGATACTTATTGATATATATTAATTTTTTCAATAGTGTTTCTGGTGGTTCAGCTACTGTGTATGCCTATTTGAGCGAATTTCACACCTCTAAACATCGTTCTCGTGCAATTATGGGTGCAGCAATTGTTTTCGGCATTGGATCTATGTTGATGCCAGCCGTTGCTTGGTTAGTCATTAATCAGGATTGGAGTTTGCCTTTACCAGTGTTAGGTATGGTTTACAAACCATGGCGTTTGTTCATGATTGTCTGCGGTATACCAGGTTTTATAAGTGGCTTAGCTTTGTTTAAACTTCCTGAAAGCCCGAAATTTTTGTTAAGCCAAGGCAAACAAGCTGAAGCACTAAAAGTATTGCGTACCATATATCATATAAATTCGGGAAATCCTAAAATGCAATATCCAGTAAGTATGGAATATTTAAGCTATATATAAGATTTGAATTTTTATTTCTATTTAATCATTTTTATTACTACAGGTCACCACAGTTTTGATTGAGGATTTGAATTCGTATTTGCCAAAAGAAAATCAACATTGCACTGGTTTCAAAGCCCTACTTCGCTCCATGTGGCAACAAACCCAACCGCTTTTCGGACGACAATATTTATTTTCCACCTTGCTTATATGCATTATACAATTCGTTACATTTTTTACATCGAATGGCTTGTATATTTGGTTCCCAGATATACTTAATAGCGTCGGCGAATACATGAGCTTGCATCCAACTCACAAATTCTACCTCTGCGATGTAGTCTATGAAAAGCAACGGAATTTATATAACTTTAATGAAGAAATGAAATATCTTGAGATGTTTAATGTTAAAAGTTTTGGAGTTAAAAAATGTAATGAGAAGCTTGAGTTGAACACATTAGAACAGTCTTTGTTGTTGGAGATTTTGTATGCCGTCGGATTTTCTGTACTTGCCGTGATTATTAATTGTGTTGGAAAACGTTCTATATTATGTGAGTTTTCTTTATGAATAATATTAGTAAATTTTTTAATATGATGATAATTTTTATTTATACAGTTGGCTGCTTGGTATTTTGTGGACTTAGTGGTATTGCTGTCATTTACACTGATATACCTTTGATTTCTACCAACTTGTATCTGGTTCTTCTTCTTTGCGGTTTGGGCATTAATGTTTTAAGTGCAACAACTGTTGAAATCTACCCTACTAAGCTCAGGTTAATATATAACTGCATATAAATTTTTAAATAGTTACTAATTTTGATAAAAAAAATTTAATATTACAGAGCTATGGCCGTTTGTATCTCATTGATGATGGGTCGCTTGGGTAGCGTTGTTGGTGTCAATGTTTTTGGTACACTCCTCACTCAAAATTGCGAAACTGCTTTTGTCATATCCGGTGTCACTTTGATATTGAGCGGATTTCTTGGTTTCCTCATACCTTCACCAAGCAAGTTCATCAATCAACGCTATTCACGCCGTTCGAGCGTTGCTTCGATGACTGGAAATTAAATCATTAAATTGAAACAATACATTTTTTTCTATATTTACTTACTCGAAACAAAAATTTAGATCTAAGCAATGAAAACTGATAACGAAACGCATAAGATTGGAAAATTTAGATTTAAGAAAGTAATCATTTTTATATGGAATGCAAGAAGCACATATGCTTAAAAATCAAAAAAAAAAAAACGAAACAAAAACTCCAAAAAAAAATTTAAAGAAAAATTCAGGAAAAAATAAGATAAACAATTTAAAATAAAATATTTAAACTGTACGGCAGTTCTAAATCTTTTGGAAGTGATTATTTTTTGAAAGAGCACTTCACTAATTTATCTCTTCAAAAACTATTCACTTCCAATTCCTATAGAACTGCCTTCTTGTGTTAATGAATTTAGTATAAATTTTCTTATTTTTATTATGAGTAGTTTGTGCTAAGTTCATTAGTATTTATACAGTATTAAAAAATACATACACTGCAATACTAATTTAAAGCATCATATATCAATAGCAAATTATAAATCTTACACTTCATTTTGTGACTCCAAATGGATTGCAAGGAACGATATTACAATTGAAAAGGACTGACATTTAAGGTTAAATTGGTGCGTTGGGTTACGATTGCAGTATAAACTGAACAATAATTGCAAAAGGCTGATTAATATTTGATACGGAACATTACACATTAACTATCTGAATATGAACATTGTTAAACATATATTTAATCCATTATATTATTAGTCTGTAGTTTGTAGCTTGGGTTTAGTAGTGCGTTAGTGCAATGGGAGTAGTGTTAGTTTGTAGTATGAATATATTCAATAAAGAATAAAATAATATAAAATAAATAAAATCTTTTTTTAAATGATTTTATCTCATATAAAGTTAAATCATATTACTATTAATTAATTTATTATTTATACTTTATTACTACTAGTTATATTATTATATAATTTATTATAATTAATATTATTACTATACTATTATGCTTATGATACGGTAAAGAAGAAATCGGAGATCCGATAAATTGTACTGAAGTTACTTTAATCGATGATACAAAATGACTCATTCTCTCAACATTTGATTTTGTTGTAAATAACATCGAATTGAAAAGCAAGCAAGATAACTATGATACAGTAAAAAAAACATCGGAGACCCGATAAATTTATTCGATCTATTCGTACAAATCTTTATCTGTTCGATGATAGCAAATGTTTAATTTATTGTGGTACTCGTGTTAATTAACGGTGACCTGAAATCCAAGCAGTTGGCTGTCATATAGTGAAAACGTTATTGGAGACCTGATAAATTGTACTTTTACTTTTTAAATAAAAACTAGACTTAAATTCAATCTCATCAGAGAAAAGTATGAATAGTTCAAGTATTTGAAGGGTTTAAATAACTCTCTGCATAGTTTACTTAAAGCATGTTGCAGAGTATCGTTTTTGTCATTCAAGAAAGAAAATCTAAGAATGACACTCAAAAATTATAGTCTGCACCTTTGAATGACACGCAATCAACATGTTGTGAATGATAATTGCCCAAAAACTTGCATTCGTCGTGAAGAGAATATATTTGAGAGGTTGCACTAACACACTTACAGCTTGCGAAACACACTTACAGCGTGCGTAAACACCCTTATTCTTCAAAAATTTAGCTTGAATGACAACTCTTGAATGTGAGCATGTTCAAGTTCGGTCATTAGAATAAATTTGAGCTAGAGTTAGCGCAACTTGAATGACATTCAAAAATGATAATTTTTATCGCGCTTAATACTTTTTTTAAATAACTTCTGCATAAAAATAAAACACTAATCATATTTAAAAATTAAAAAGAACGATTGTGACTTAAAATTGTATTACAATATAAAGTTTCTCTCAATTTTTTGACTCTTTCTATACACTTTCTATATATAAAAATTATGCTTTATACTTTTTATAGATAATTTTGTAAAAATTAATAAAACTTAATAAACAAAGACTCAATACACAAACCAATATTTTAAACTTTTAACGAACGCACAAAAGTATGCTTCTTTTATATATTATTTGTATACATTGTGAAAACTTTTTTTTTTGCACTCTTATCTGTTAAATTGCGAGGCAAAGTTCTACGTTAATGAAGCACTTGAGTCGTCACTTCATAAAAACATTTATCTATCAATTGAGAATTGTAAAGAATTAGGATTTTATGAAAATTATTTTAGATTAAATAAAGGCATTTGAAGGCGTTTGAACTCGTGTTATTATAAATATTCAGTGTTCGAAGTGCTCCCTTCAATTGAACTGGTGCTATCTAGTAATGTTATCTACTCAATGCCAAATTCCAACTATGATTTTTATTATTTTGAATTAATTTCAATTGTCTTGTATGGCGCAATATAATTAATTCGGTTTGAACATATTCATTGAGTTAATTGAAAAGAAACATACGCAGCTCTTAAGGAAATATGGTCACGTTGCGTATGAGTAACATAGTTTTCCCAAATACTAAGCAAGTTTTTAAAATAATTATTAAAGTTATTTTCAAGCTGTTTATTTTATCTAATTAAAATATTAATTAAAGTAAAATGCATAATAACTAAATTATCGTGATTCAACATATTTAAAGTTAAAGTCTTACGGAATTTTATTCTAAGTCCTGTTTATTTTTATGGTAATTTAATAATATTTTTTCCAAATTAATTGGTGTTGGATATGGTCACGATTTTTAACTCAAAAACTTAAACTTACTTACACTAAAATAGAAAAATGTTAATAAATTTTTATGAAAAATTAATGATAAATGATTTTGTCGAAAATATAATCCAAGAATTTTGTTTCATATCTTACAAATAAAATAATTAAGTTTATTAAAAAGATAGTAAAATTATTTTCTGTTAATTTTTTAATTCCTAGTTATTTTGTATTTCACAATATTGTTAATTATGTGTATATAAAGTTTGCTAATATATTTTTAAGATCTGACGTCGGAGAGCCTACAGAGAACATTGAAGATTGATCAGCTGGAGCAGATAATTTGAGTTAGTTAGGATCGTTTCCTTTTAGTGTGTCAGTAATTTATTTGTGTAATTATAAACATTTATTCTTATAAGTGATTTTCTATGTCGACAATAGCTTAAGAACGAATCAATTATAATTAATAATAAAATTTTTATTTATATATATAAGTTTGGTAAGAAATTTAACATTTTATAAAGCCTTTTTAGTTTTAAATGATATCAATATAATTCCATATAATCAAAATCATTGAAATTTATGCATAATAATTTAAATATACAAATTTAAATTTAATATTCTTAATTTAATGTTAATTTAAATAATAAATTATATACTATGGATATTGCTAATGGACTATGTTTTTAGTTTAATAAAACCATCATTCAAGAACATAACTTCGTTTTAATAGCCATATCTAAACATATTGCTGTAATGATATTTTATAAATTATTAAAATACACTTCAATGGATTCCAGAACTTCTTCAAATAAATCAAAATATTTGGATTTATTTGTAATTAGAGAATCACATTCTAGGTATAAGTACTCGTAAATCTTTTAGTACAAAAGTAAGTTTTTTGATATTTCATATCACTGGTATTGCGAAGCTTTTTGAGTTTTTCCTTAGCGAAGTTGTATAAGCTTCGTAACGTTAGCGATATAATATAATAAATATCTAAAATTACATAGGAATGTATTATTTTATCAGATCGTTTAGATTTACGATATCTTCTGATTGGGCTTGCACATAATTGTAAATATATTATTTATCATGTAACCACCCCTCATTATGTTGTACAACAACAATAACATATTTGCTTATAAAATGAAATAAAATAATGATAATACATAAAAAAAATTTGTTATTGTTTTAATATGTCATTTATAGCGAATTATACGATATATAGAACAAAAAAAGAACAAAATTGATTGTGTGAACGATTATCACATTGAATTTCAGGTAATATGAACTGCAAATATTTTGATAGCTTTGAGTTTGCTATGCTAGCAATATGATATCGATATCATATCATATTCATCATTAGATTCGAGTTTTATGGCATACAAATCAATTGATGGCATTAGACTTGGTCAATTTGTGAAATAATTCAGAGAAAGAAGAAGAAAGTAGGATCTGTATTTACTTAGATATACTTGATAAACAGTATCATTTAGTTATCGTAAAGATTACTTTTTGAAATAGCTAAGTTAAAAAACATCAAGATATAGTTTTCAATTTTTTACTTTAGATGTAAGAAGCTAGATGTTTAGATGTTAAGCAGCTAGTAAATATATGTATTGGGTAGTATAAAAAGTATTCGTTGTTATTTGATACATTGTTGAACTTTTTAAAAAGTAAAAAGTTAAAGTATTTTTTAAAAACTAATTGTTTAGAGTGGAGCCTAATTTAGTTAGAGTGGAAACCACAGGGCTGGCGTGGTAGAGAGGGGCCGAAAAATACTTGGCGCAGAACTGTCACAAGCGAAACGAGAAAATCTTTTATTGAGCTTAGAGCAATAGTTCTTCAGTGCAATAACTGGAAGGCTTTTATAAATATTATAATGTAAATTCGATTTACATAAAATATTCTTTGTAAATAGACTAAATTTGTAATTTTGTTAAAATACAAGTATGTTCTAATAATAATAATAATTATTATTTATAAACTTTTGTTATTTTTCAGGTAGCTACATAGTGTCATCGGTGTAGAACTTCTGTCGTTTATCAGCGAAAAATTGGGTCAAGTGATTAAACTGAGCCAAGTGATTTTCAGCAACAATTTATTCCGAGTCATCAAAGATAGATGTGGGCTAACATTATCGTAATGGATCGGAACAACTTTTGTGTTGACCAATTTTGGTGGCTTTTTTTAACGTTTCGTTCACGTGGACGAGTTGTAAGCAGAATAGGACCGAATTAAGCGTTGCACCAGACTTGTAGTAGATAATTATATAATATTTAATATATATTTATTATTTTACCTGCCTTATGTTCCTTCCAGGAGTTGAATGATTCAATGTATATATATTTTAATTATTTTAATATAGTTTTTAAAGTCAATAATGGTGGAATAATAATGTTGAATAATGGCGAACTACATATATTATTAATTGAATATAATAATTAGAATATTATAGAATATAATTTACAATATTTTATATTTACAATATTAGAAAATATTCAGATTTACCAACTGTAGTTTTTTATTGCATTCATTATTTAGTTTGCGCACCGACTTTTTCTTCTATTTGCCAAATTATTCAAACGAAATAAATAATGTCAACATCATTCTGAGCGCAAATTTACTATCGCTGAACTACATACATATTTTTTCTGTTTACAATTTTCATAAAAAAAAACGAATTAAAAATTCATAGAACTTTCTTTGCTCAGTGCGCATGCTTCTTACACTGCTTCCCACTGTTTCTCGTCGTTCTGCTTGTTACGCATTACAAAGCCAGAGCACTCCATAAAAAATCGAACTGTTGTTGTAGTTAGTCCGCACCATACAGAACAAATTACTCACTCTCCAATTACACGCTGACAATAAATAAAATTAACAACAGCACCAACAACAACAACAACAAAAACAAAAACATTCAACAACAATTGGAAATGCTTCTCAGTCGTGGCTTATAAGCCTCAGTTCGCAAAAGGAAAAATGCGGTATTTTCTTGTTTCTTTATCGGTCTTTGCGTTTGTCTCATTACAGCGTTTGCCGGAGGTTGCGCTGAATTTGCTTTATTTGTTGTTTTTTTTTTTTTAATAAAAATAAATCGACGTCGACAATATATTCTGTATATTCTGTTGCTGTGTTCAGAAAAGTAATTAAAAAAAAT